CCCCAAAACCCCAAAACCCCAAAACCCCAATTAAAATAAAACTGCCAGAAGTCGAAATGAAATTTATTAATTAAAATCTTAGAACATATCTATTTAAATTAATATTTTGTTATCATGCTCTACTAAGAAATTCATTGATCTTCTTTATGAATTCTCTGTCCAATTCATCCTTTGGAAGAAGCTTAAGAATGTAAAAAGCATTCCAAAAGTTATTTCTAATTAAAGGAGTAACGTAACAAATTACAATCATCTGGCCGATAACTAGGATTATTGTGAAAACTACAAACATTCCTAGGAGAATGATGAATGCACTATTTTATAAGAGCATATCATGGAAAATTTCATCATAGAAGCGTCGCAATCCATATTACTAATATAATTATACTGAGTCTAGCAATTCTATATGAGTTAGAGATCCAATAATTTGTTTAATATTTGCCTCAGTTTTATCTTAAAGTGATCCAAATTTGAGAGCATGATAGTAAGAATCTTATAAGAATAGGGAAGTTTGATATAAAACATTTTTGTTAAGGATTCCTTAATAAATAGATTTGCAGTTCTTCAAATTCAATCCATTACCAAACATTTTTTTCTAATCAAGGTAAGTACATATATTTTGATCATTTTTGTTAAGATAGAATTCTGCTTGATTTTATTCTTAGATCCAGGCATTGACATATTGGTTATGATTTATGCAACTTTTATATGTTTCATTAAGTATATTAATTTTTTACATATCTTAAACTTGTTGTAGTTATATTGGTTTAGTACTGTCAAGTAGATAAGTTGTTTGATTGCTTGTTTGAAGATCTCTTACCTAAAATAAAAAAGTACTTGTACACTCAAGACTTTATTGAATTTCTTTAAGGACTTCAGAGTTAGAGTTAAGAAAATTTTGACTCTTTTCGAATAAGAGAAACTGAACCACAAAGTAAATAATCAAAATGAAGGAAGTCAAGGTTCCAACTATAAACATCTAGGAAAGCTTTTTCATTTTTAACTCTTTTAATCTCATAACAATGTACTTATTTTTATCTGAAGATTCGCTTAGAAGATCACTCCTTCTATTTGTTTAAGAATATTATCTTAAGTCCATTCTTGATACTTATTCTTCTAATGATTTCCCTATCATATCCTACAATTTTATCTTACCCTCATCTGTTGCTAATGCTTTATTAGGGTTTCCTTTATTCTACTTTGATTGAACAATCATTTTTCCTTAAATATTTGAGGAATCTAAGTTACTTTCTTTATGATTTTCTTTTTTTTCCTCCTTTGCTTAGTATTTTTCATCATCATCTTCTAAATTCTCACTGAAATTGCTTGAGCTCTAAATTCCTTAAGAATTTTTAGTTAATTTTCTAAAAAACTTGGAGGTCCCCTTTTTTTACTTTGAATTTAATTTCTTTCCTGGGATTTTATCCTATTATTATTTCACATCATCCTTTAAACTCTTGTTGATCTCATATTCCCTCTAATCATTTTAATTTTTCTTTATAATATCATAGTTTTCGGTTTTGAGATATAAAGAAAATTCTATAGCACATTACTCATTAAGTAAAATAGTTTCTTTTTCTAATTCAGTGAAGAAATCCAAAACTTAATACTTAAATTGGTTTAAAAATAGCAAGTAATATTGAGTTATCAATGTTAGGACGACTATTACAATAGAGGTAATGATAACATATATTTAATTGGTGAAGTTGGACTTTATAACTTGATTTTTTATAAATGACTCACACTCATTGTTGAATATCATAAGCTTTGACCTTATATCATTTAAACTGTTAGTTAGTACATAGAATACCAATTAGTCTGCATTATTGACTGAAAAATTTTAAGGGTAAAAAGAATAGATTTTGCTTGTCAGATTTGGATTGTAAAAAATTTCACCTATTTTGACAAGCCAGTCGTTAATTGTATAAAATCTTGAAAGTTTTCTATTTCCTACAGTTTTGTTAAGATAAAGATCGTAAACTCTGATACTCATATCCGAAAAATGATTTTTAAAAGTATCTTCTTCCTGGATTTAATTGATAAATTACTGAAGGATTTTCATGTTAATTCTTGTATTTTCTAATATTTCTAAAGCCTAATATTTAATTACTTCTTTCCTATCATTCACATAAGTCATATTATTATTTTCAAGGTTGAGGTTCACATTTAGATAGCATCTTGTTAAAAGTACTAAGGATGATATTGATTCTTCAGCTTAAAGTGTACGAGCAAGCATCTTCTGATAATCTATGTTCTATTTATTGGTATCGATGTTTAGTGCAAATTATATTGTTGAAAGTATAAGACTTATCAGTAAAAGAATTACAACAGCAAGTCGAAGATAAATTAGTGGTTTTGGATTTTTTTCATAGTCAATTCCTTCTTCAATATACTTAATTTCATTGTACTAATCACTTGTCTAGCTGCTTGAATAAGACGAGCTAATACTATTGTTGTTGATACCCATTAAACTCTCTGTACTCATTGATTTGCCATTTATAGAACTAAGTTTAATTTTATCATCTTTTTGACTGAAGAATAAATTTTCTGAGTCGGCAAGATCCGATTCATGTGATTCAAAATTATTCAAAGATTAAATAGTTTATCTAGTGGCAGGATTATTACTACTACCTGATATGTTATGCATTGTATTTTGATTGTTGTTAAACTCTGAAAAAATTACATAGTATATACTAACTTAAGCACTTTTTGGATCACCATATGTTTCTCTGATTATTTTCATCTAAGCTTTGAATTAGTTTCTTGGTAATTTGATGTTATAATCACTGTCTTCAATAAATTCGGCCATCTTTGACATCTTCCATATTACACCAAAGTTGAGGCCTATATACCGATAGAAGTAACAGTTCGACTCATTAAAGTCTAAAGTGCTTATCTAAAGCTAAGAGTTCAAATGAGATAAAGTAAAACTGTCAGAAAATGATGATTGAAATTTGTCAAGCATATCAGGTCTAAGCTTCATTAATTACTGGCAAGACCTTGAGATTTCCAATATTTTTCCATTATCACTGCAAATTAATTAATATGTCTTCCTAGTCCTCACCTAACTCTCTTAATCGTCAAAGATGAATGACTTTGGCCGTCTGAATAAACTTATAAAACAATATCCAAAATCCTTATGGTAAAGAAACTTCATGAACATTTTGAATGGAGCTATATAACCTTCTTTATCCTTAACAAACAAGAATCTTACCTATTCAAGTACCCTGGCAGCTCCACATTCTGCAAATCTAAGCCAAAATTTGTTATGTACTTCTGATATTTAGCCTGGCATTAGAATATGAATTCTCTAATTTATTAATTCCTCGCTCTTATACCCGAGCAACTTTGATATTGTTTTGTTAGCAAATATCATTCTCCCAAATAAACTAAAATTTCCATCGACAACTGTCAATCCAACATCATCAATAAGACTATTTTTAATAGAAGATTATGACCTAACGCTCTGCATATTCATCATATGCTTGAGAATAACCTAGCTCTAGTGATTATCTCTGAGAACAACATTGTAAAAATGACACAAATAAAAGTACAATGAATGGCAAGAAGATTGAAAGTTGTCAGCACTCGTCATCATCTTTAGATTGTGCTTAATTTATTTAAGCATTATGCTAATATCAAATGAAACCTTAAGCAAATCTTCTATCTATTCTTTAGAAATATTTTCAGAGGCCATTAATTACCAGAAGATCATAATTTTATCAGTGCAATCCTTAATGTAATTTAAAATTTCATCAATCTTTAGACTTTGGTTAAGAAGTATTTCAGTGTCTAGCTCATCATTATGATTAGATTTTGAAATATAGCTATCTATAAAGTAATTTTGAGAAATTAGACTTTCAACTTATTTTACATAGCCTTCCTTGTATCAATGAGCATGAATATTGGTTATGGTTGTGAGAGTAAGATATCTGTTGTTCAGCAAATTATTAGTCAGATAAGCCCTAAAAAACATAACTGTTTAACTTTCTGGAAACATTAAAGACGCTTTTTTAGCTATTACGTCATATAAAAACTAATATTTAACGGTCTGAATGGCATCTTAGGAGTTCGTAACGTCCATTGTCTGACCTTCTATCTTAATGAAAATCTATTCCTTTTTGTTCTCATCAACTACTTGCTTTTTTATCAAAGTATCGTTTGAAAATACTTCATATAAGGAGCTTTTACCTCTTTCACAATTTTCATTATTGATATTATTTCCTGTCTTCATCTAGTTTTTTTAATTGTTATCTAATTTCCCATTTTTTAAAGAACCTAAAAATCCCTTATCAAAAGGAAACTCCCCAGTGCTTTTAGCTAATATGCTATCCATATTTCCACTAGTAAATTCCATAGAGGCTGCATCAATATTTTTATATTCTTACTCTATATTTTATATTCTCTCCGATACCTATTTATTAAATCTATGATCTTATCCGTATTTATGATGGTAAATTTCATTAATCATCTTGTAGTAACTTAGATTTTCCTCATCTATATCTTATTCTTCATACTCAATCATCATTTGGAGAAACTATTTGTGACTGTGTAAATCTTTGGATTAACACTGATAAAGTAGTTAATAAAGAATCCTTTCTATTGAGATTGAGTTTTTAATTTCCCCATTGATCAATTTGATATACAAAGCCTTCATAAAGTAGTCTTTAAAGTAAATTGCTATTCCAGCTTTCATTGTCACCACTATAAAGTACAAAACAATGCAATTTTTGAAATTTAATTATCCCATTTGTGATATGATGAGGCTGGTGAAATAAGAAGTCTTAAAAACTTTAAGAGCTAAGTTTACCTGATTTACCTTTTCATTGTAGTAAGTGATAAAGTACGTACATCTAAAAAGCTGAAGATATGCTAATAAAGCTATCGCAACCAGCGACAAAGGTCTTATGATATTATTTAGATTTGTCTATAATGATAAGGTAATTAAGGCGCTATGCAAAATTAATCTGAAATATTCAAATTTCTAAGTGGCTGGTCTAGAACACACAAGTTTGTCATTAATGAAATTAAGGTTAAAAAAATTTGAAAGTATTAGTTCGAAAAGTAGGATTACCAAAATCAATATAACTATCAAGACTAGGTTGATAATCTGACTCTCTTCCTGATTTTTAAATACTTCAGACCCAAATATTAAATAAAGAACTTAAATCATGTAGATATGAATTAGCATAGTGAAAAAAGTAATCGCAGTCGAAAAATAGACAGCAATATACTTCATTAAAATAGATAGTGTAGTTGTCAAACTATTTTGCTCAGGCAAATATCGTATTGTTCTATTTAGGTACCATATAACTACTAGGTTGAAAAGGTGGTACAATATAAGGACCACTGAGGTTATCATCAAATTCTATGGTATATCCGAATTATTATTTAAACTTTCTAAGGCTTGTTCAAAAAATGGCATTTCAAAAGCAAGCCTAGTAACCAAAAATACTTTTACAAGCTCCTCAAACGTCATCATCATAATGAAAAATAGGTACCCAATAGGACATACTTGAATTATATGCCAAAAAGTAAGACTTAGATAGTTTTTATCTGGCAAAATAAAGGCCAGATCACAGTTATTTTTTCTAGATTTCATCAATTAAAATGATTTATAATATTAGGTGACTATAGTTAGCATGTATTCCTAAATAATCCCATTTAAGTCTTATATTTTTTTCTATTAATTTCTTTAATAAATATGCCAAAATTGATTACGGGGTTTTGGGGTTTTGGGGTTTTGGGG